TTGGACACACAGCTCCACTCCTGGCCCCTCCATCCACATCCTGCTCCCCAAATTCTGCTGCTTTCACCCCAAATCTGCTCCCTCCCTGCTCCTCGCAGTGTGTGTCACCAGCCATGGGCTCCACACAGGACCAGGACTAGATGATGGTGTCTCTGCTGATGGCAGGGGGGTTGGAACTGGGTGAGCTTTACGGTCTTTTCCAACCCAAACCATTCCATGATCTGTGATCTCCAGAGGTCCCTTCCAACCCAAACCATTCCATGATCTGTGATCTCCAGAGGTCCCTTCCAACCCAAACCATTCCATGATCTGTGATCTCCAAAGGTCCCTTCCAACCCAAACCACTCCATGATCTGTGATCTCCAGAGGTCCCTTCCAACCCAAACCATTCCATGATCTGTGATCTCCAGAGGTCCCTTCCAACCCAAACCATTCCATGATCTGTGATCTCCAAAGGTCCCTTCCAACCCAAACCACTCCATGATCTGTGATCTCCAGAGGTCCCTTCCAACCCAAACCATTCCATGATCTGTGATCTCCAGAGGTCCCTTCCAACCCAAACCATTCCATGATCTGTGATCTCCAAAGGTCCCTTCCAACCCAAACCACTCCATGATCTGTGATCTCCAGAGGTCCCTTCCAACCCAAACCATTCCATGATCTGTGATCTCCAGAGGTCCCTTCCAACCCAAACCATTCCATGATCTGTGATCGCCGGTGCCGGTGTTCCAGCTAAGGGGATCATCATGGTGGAGTGGGGCTCACTGCTAATTATGCAATTAAAAATAATTATCAGGCTGCCAGGCAGGGCGGGGCAGCCGGGGTGTGAAGGGTGCCATCCTCTCCTCCAGCTCTGCCACTGGCAGCACTGCTTTGCTGTCACACTGTCACGCTCCCGGGAGCTTTAATGCAGAGTGGAGACATCATGGGCACTGTCTGTCCGTCTGTCTGTCCGTCCAGCTGATGGGATAAAAAGGGTTCTGGGTGCAGCTGTGTCCATGACACTGATGATGTCCCCTCCGGGCTGGGGACACCAGCACTTTGAGTACTGGGGACAGTTTGGGCACCACGGGATAAAAAGGATCTAAAGCTGCTGGAGAGTGTCCAGAGGAGGGACACAACATTGGGGAAGGGTTTAGAGGGGAAGGGTGTGAGGAGAGGCTGAAGGCACTTGGTTTGTTCAGCCTGGAGAAGAGGAGACTGAGAGGAGATCTCCTGGGGGTCTAGAACTTCCTCCCAAGGGGCAGAGGAGGGGCAGGCGCTGATCTCTTCTCTCTGGCCACCAACGAATGCCAGGAGCAGAGGGAATGGCAGGAAGATGTGGCAGGGGAGGGTGAGGTTGGCCATGAGGAAAAGGTTCTTGAGGCACCCAGAGGGTGGTGGAGCACTGGAACAGGCTCCCCAGGGAGGTGCTCATGGCACCAAGCCTGACAAGATTCCAGCAGCATTTGGCCAAGGCCCTCAGGGACATGGTGTGAATGTTGGGCTTGTCCTGTGCAGGGACAGGAGTTGGGACTCATCATCCTGGTGGATCCAACTCACAACATTGATGATTCTGTGCTTTGGGATCATCAGCTCCCCAGGTGAAGTGAGGATAACGGAGATGACCACGCTTGTTTGTCAGCGTTTCCCTGACGAGCAGAGAGCTGGGTGGATTCATTGTAAATCAGATGGAGAGCAGATAAATTCCTCCCTTCCTCTCATGGGGAGGTGGTGGGTAAACCCAGCGTGGGGACAGGGGTCTGGCTGGGGGTGGACACCAACCCTGGGGACACCCAGCCAAGCCCTGTGACCTATCTCTGCAGCTGGGGATGGTGCTGTCACCAGAGCGGACTCTGGTGCCACCTGGTGCTGTGACACATGGGAACCATCAGGGACTTTGGGCTTTTGCTTCTCTATAAATGGACTTTGGGCAGGTTGAAGCTCACCCCGGCACGGGATGTGTCACAGCGCAGCATGGCAGGGGACACGGGGCATTGTCACGCTGGATGGAGGCCACCACATCGTGTCCCTGCTTGTGGTGAGCCTTTGCCACCATACACCGTGGCCAGGATCAGAGATGGCCAGTGAAAGCCAACATGATGGTCCTCACCATGCTCCACCTTCCTCTCCAGCTTGAGATGGCACCGGTTGCCATCAGCCAGGGACCTGGCTGTCCCCCAGCTGCCAGCCCTCAGCAGGACACGTTGTTGGGGACACTCCACCACATGCCAGTGCCACGGGACCCACCTTGCCGATGACATCGTTGCGGCTCAGCCTGTCCTTGTCCATGACGGTGATGACAATGGTCGTCTCACGCAGCCGTTCCGTGGGGATGTCGAAGGCGAAGGACTCGTTGAAGACGGGGTTCAGGCACCTCTTCATCACCACCGTCTTCTTCTTCTCCACCCGCTTGTCCTTGTACATCAGCCACACCTTCACGTAGGGGTCTGAGGGGACAGGAGCTGCTCTCAGCCCTGGCTGGGTGTCAGGCAGCCATGCCCGGCGTGGCAGGAGCTGGAGCTCGTACCTGACGTGCCCCCGATGTCCATGGCTTTGAGGTTACGTGCTTTGATGATGTTCACCACGATGGAGTTGGCGGAGGGGTTGTAGCACAACGACAGCAGCAGCTCCCCACGGCTTCCCTGGGGAGACCCACAGAGACCCACTTTAGGTGGGTGCCCCAAAAACACCAGCTCCTCACCACAGCACCCAGACCAAGTCCTGACAGGGCACCCAAAGCCCCCGTGTCCCACCGTGGGAGTGGGATGCTGGGCTGGGACCACCCCCTGAGCTATCCCAAGGGTGGACTTTGGGGGCTGCACAGACAATCAGGACAGGAGGAAACAGGGTTGTCCCCAGTGAGACATTTCTAGTCTTGCTGGAGGCAGGAGAAGAAGAAAACTTTCATTTTAGATCTACCTAAACCAGCTCTTTTTGACCCAAAATGAGACACTCACTTTGGGCTACTTAGTGCCTTAATTTATAGATACAAATTTGGGATGGGAAACGTCCCCCTTGGAGGTGGAACCTTCAGGCAAAGCAGAAACGTCCCTGTTGGGGTAGCAAGAGGGTGGTGGCCCCACTGGGACACCACAGGGACAGGAGTAACCTCCCCTTGAGGACTGTCCCCAAGGGGTGGGAAGGGGACCAGGGCCTTACGCTGCCATCACTGCACGGCTTCAGGTCCTTCCAGAAGGTCTGCATCTGGGTGAGATCCACCTTGTTGAGAGGGATGGACACCTCCCCAATGGGGTCGTTACGGCTGAAGCGGTCGTAGTCCAGGACCTGGAGGTACAGCACCCGCTGCACCACCTTCTCGTAGGGGAACCCTGTGCCAGAGACAGAGGGGATGAGGACCACCAGTGCTGGTGCTGGGGCTGGCCTGCTTTGGTGAGAAGATGTTGGCACCAGGCAGTGGATGGGGAGCAGATGACAGTGTGGGGCTCCTCTTGTGGCTTTGGGCCACCGCGGTGGCTGGTAGCAGATTAATTCCCCTGTTTGCACCCACCCATGGGTGCCTGTTGGGTGGAGAAGGAGCCTCCTCCCATGTCCCCTTCATGGGACGCAGAGCAAACATCTCCAACCTGGCGTTGATGGCTTGGCCAACACATCTCATCACTGATGGCCACCACATTGGCTACTGGAGTTGAGCTGGTCCAGCCCAAGAGGGAGGACAGAAGGTCCCACAACTGCTCCACTCCCACCCCAGTCCATCCCAGTTCATCCCAACACCTACCTTCGAAGAGAAAGGTCTCGTTCCAGTGTGGGTTGAGGTTCTTCCGCTTCACCTTGGTCTCCAGTTTGTGCTTCTTGTCAGGAAGCAGGTAGATCTTGAAAAAGGGGTCGCTGGTGCCACTGAAGTCCTTGGCTGGCAGCTCCTGTGCCTTCATGATCTTGACAGTCAAGGTGGACTCCTGGAAGTTGTAGCCGACGCTGAACTGGATGCGACCCAGGTTCTCCCGGCTGATGCCCTCATGACCCTCATCATCCTCGGAGCCTGGGGAGAGCTGTGGTGGGGGGAAGAAGGACAGTGAGCGCAGCACCAGGGGAATGGTGAGGAACCACCAGTGGGGTCTGCACATCCCCGTCCCCCCCCCGGTTTGGTTCACACCAGCACCCGATCCCCAGCCCCATGAGCTGTCACAGGACATCAGCCTCTCCCCGGCTCCTTGTCACCGTCACCGCCGACCCCCGTCCCCGCCGACTCCTGGCTCCGTGCCACACGTCCCGGGGACGGGGAGCGCCAATTAACCAAATTCCTCCTGACAGCTCGTCCCTCGCGGCTCCGGCACCGCTCCCGCGCGCTGGCCCCGGAGGGGACGGCCATGTCACCTCAGCTGAGCCGTGGCTGTGCCATCCGCAGTGCCCGGCTGTGACAGGGACTTGGCAGAGCGGGCTGGGACGTGCCAGAAGGCTTGTGGCACAGGGTGGGCAAGGAGAAGAGCCCAGGGTGGGATGCCATCCCTGCGGGACACATTCCCAGTACACCCCATCCACCCACCATGAGCATCTCACTGGTCAGGGAGTTGACCAGGTCGGAGACGGAGGAACGTGGCTCCGTCTTACGGTCGGACTCATCGTGCG